ACTGTCCTCCTGGTTCTAGAATCCCACTGCTATTCCATACCAGGCACTCTAGAATGAGAGACTGCTGCTTTTCCTGGGCAGGGCCTGCTTGCTCCAGCTCTCAAGTCTGACTTGCATCTACGCTGTGGGCAAGATGCGGCTGCGAGACCGCATCGCCACATTCTTCTTCCCAAAAGGCATGATGCTCACCACGGCTGCACTGATGCTCTTCCTCTTACACCTGGGCATCTTCATCAGCGACGTGCACAACTTCTGCATCACCCACCACTACGAACGCATGAGCTTTCATTACACGGTCGTCCTGATGGTAGGCTCGGGGCAGGGACGCAAGGGCTGGCTGCGGGAGGCCCGGGGGGCTGATGGAAACCCCACTGTTGTGTCAGGGGGCCACTCTCCCACTAGATGGGCCTACAGTTCTCCCAGGTGATCAGCATCTGCTGGGCCGCCATGGGGTCACTCTATGCTGAGATGACAGAAAACAAGTACATCCGCTGCTCTGCCCTGACCATCCTGAGTGAGTGGCGGGAGGGGGAGGGTGCAAGGGGGAGCGGGGAGCTTTGGAACCCTGAGATATGGCAAGGAGTAGGCAGGGAAGGGTACTGGGGCTCATGGGGGGCTCTCTCCTCCACCCAGTGCTCAACGGAGCCATGTTCTTCAACCGCCTGTCCTTGGAGTTTCTGGCCATCGAGTACAGGGAGGAGAACCACTGAGGCCTGGGGAGTCGCAACAGGGCTGAGGAGGCTGAACGAAAAGGCTGCCTCGGGAGTTTTAATAAAGTTGTTGTTTATTTCCACCTGCCAGCTCCTTCATGGGGCAAGGGGTGGGAGGCTGGAGACCCGGGAGGAAAGCAAGTCAAGACAATGCTTGACCCGCGGGGACTCCAGGCCCGGCCTGCAACCACTCTGGTGGACTCGGCTTTGGGTCCGGGGTCTTAGTGTCTTAGGCTTGACGGAGAGGGGCAGTGAAGAGGTGCCCCCAGCCTCCCCATTACCCCGCCTCTCCTCCACAGGACCCAGGTCCTAGGCTGGCCTAGCCACAAGCAAGGGGGCTCAGGAGGGGCCCACGCGGATGTGAGGGTTCATGAGTGGGTCCAGGTTGGGGTCGCTGTCCGCTGCGGCCCGGCCTAGGCGAGACATGAGAGCAAGGAGGGCCAGAAAGCCCAGCAGTCCCAGGAGTAGCAGCAGCCCTGCCCGCTGGAGCAGGGTCAGTGGTCGCTTCCGAGACCCGGCCCGGCTCCTGGGGGGATGAGGGGAAAATCAGATCAGGCCCCAGTCCCTGGTGGCCCCCACGGCCTAGAGAGAAGCCCCGGTCACCACCCATTCCTGAACCTCCATCTCCTCGTCTGTGCCTCAGAGATGATCACTCCTGCACTTGCCACCATAGGGCCTTATTGTGCAGCTCAGACCAGCTGAGGCACATGACTGTGTTCTGGAAACTACAACGTGTCAGGCGTCGGGGAGAGTTACAAAGATTAGGGGGTGTCAGTTCAGGAAGGGGCCTCAAAGAGCCTGAGTCCAAACCTCCTGTGTAGGAGGCACTGAGACAGCCCCAGAGAGAAGCAAACCACAGCTTCTGCTGCACAGCCAAGGCCTCTGCACACCCTAGCACCAGGTACTGTCACTCCCCAGAACGAGCCCCTTTGGTCATGAAGCTGTCCCTCCCAGGGCCTCTGGTTCCCACTCCCTCTCCACCCCTTCCCGGCATTCCGCCCGCCTGACCCTGTGTACCTTAGCAGCTGGGCCAGCCAACCCAAGGCAGGCCGGCGTCGGTACTTGTCATCGTCACAGTCTCCATGGAGGCCTGGTGTCCGGTCATCATCCCGCGTATCATACACCTTCCTAGGGGCTACAGGGTGGAGCCACTAGCACCAATAGACTCAGGAAAACTGGCCGCTTTGGGGAGGGCTAGGGGGATCACCTGCCCTCCTCAGTCTGACAGAGCATCTCAGAATCGTGCGGAGGTAATGGCTGTGCCTGGATTGAGGACAGGTTCCTCCAGGTGGGTCTCTCTCTGGATCCTCAAGCTCCCCGTACACAAACCACTCCACCACCCTCTTTCTATCCTTCTGCGGCCTGGGTCACTCCCAGGCTCACCATGAGTCAAGGGCTCAGGATTGCCCATGTGGATCACTGTGTGCTGCTCGGGCCGGCCTGGGGAAGCCGGGGGCCGGGGGGCCTGGCTGTAGAAGGCTGGGGCAGCAGAGGCGCTGTCTACCTCCTCTGGTCCAGGGGTACTGCTGGCTGTGGGCGGAAAGAGAGCCATCAGCAGAAGTAGTGGGTAGAGCTCAGGGGTAGAGCATGTGACTGTAGACCAAGGGAGCTGTCAGCAGAGCAGGGAGGCTAAAGCCCAGACAGTCGGTGGAAGCCACCACTTACCATTAAAGCTAGACCAGTCAGAGAAGTCAGACGTGTTGAGGGGCTCGGGCTCTGGGCTCACCACCTCATCGATCTGGAGGAAGGAATCTGGGTCACCAGGCTGCCTAGTACTGTCCCCACCCATCTGGCTCAGGTGGGGCCCAGGGCAGATGGATGGTCAGACAGACAGAGGGACTCTCACCAGAGGGAGGCCCAGTCCTGCCCGGGCCCAGTTGACCGTGGCCAGCTTCTCTCTCAGTGCGGAGGCCACAGGGCCAGCCAGGTTGGTTGGGGGGAAGATGGGGCCATTGCAGCTGGGGCACTGGTAGCCGGCAGGTGCCGTGTTTCGGGGTAGCTGGGCAGCACGTTCATTGAGGCAGGCCCAGTGAAAGAGATCTTAGGGCCCATGAGACAGGGGAGAAGAGACATGAGGAAGAAGACACTTAGGGCTCCTAGCCTAGCAATAGCCCCCAAACCATTGCAGGACATATGGACACACGTGTGTGCCAGAGCCTTCTCCTCCCCGTCCTGTTCCCTAAAACATCAGTCTTCTTGGCTATCACCATCTAAGTCCAGGCAGTGCTACCAAGCTGTCCAGCTCACAGGGGTAAGTTTGGGTGGGAAGAAACGCCACCTCTCCTTTCAGTGAGTCCTCTCTGGGCCTGCACTCATCATACTCTTTGGGCTAATGGCTAATAATGAACAGTTTCAGAAAAGGTTCCTTGATATACACACAGGCACACATATGCATGTACACATCCCTGGGCACACATGTACATGTGCTTATAAGCACGTAATCAAACACAAGTAGCATTCACTATATCTACACTATGGGCACAGGAGCCCTCACACATACACATCTATACACTCACAGGTTTGCTAACACTCAGGCACATTCAACCATGCATTCTCTTGTACTCCCACAACACACCTGTGTTCATATGTTTACATACATACATTTACCCATTCATTCACCCCCAAGTACTAATCAACACACTAACACTCATTTAAACACACAGTGTACATTAAGTGCCTGCAAGTACACACACGCACTCACAAGGAGAAACACATATGGAGCTGCCTCTTGCATGAGCTCCTTCAAAAACTGGAGCTAAGGCTCTTACTCCAGATTCAGGTCAAAGTCATGACACATATGTCTGCTGACTTCTTTTAGCTAACTTTAATGTGGGAAACTCACTTCCTCTCTGTTTAGACTTGGAATCAGTGGTGGATCCTGAATATCTGAAAGCGACATGCCGGTCTGGCTAGCTGATAGTCACGGCCACCAGCATACACATAAGCTTGACTGGCTCTCACTCAAACCTCCAGATTGGCAGGGCTGAATTTTTAGGAAAGAGGAACTAGGAGCTTTAATTTTTAGGAAAGACAGTGAGGCCTAGAAAGGAAGAATAACTTGCCTGAACTTACAGAGCAGGTAAGGAACTTTAATATGACTAGAATCTGGGTTCTGAGACTTGGGGGACTCACTGTCCTGCTGCTTGAGGAGGGCCTGGAAACCAGTCACCAAGCTGGCCCCTGAGGCTGGCCTGATCCCCCCGAGGTGCCAAGGCCTCACCATAGCAGACAAGGCGGGTCGTCTCTCGGCTGGCCAGGGGTATGTTGCACAGGCGGCAATTGGGGTTGTAGTCGCTATCTTGGAGCCATTGCAGGTAGGACTGGACGATGCACTGGAGTGGGAGAGAGATGTCACAACTGGTGCTGGGGCTGCTCGGCCTATCACCCCAAGGTCTGACAGTCTCTTTTTCTCTAGTCACAGAGGAGACTCATCCTTTTGTTTGTTCAAGCAATATTTATTGAGCACATACTGTGCGCCAGACTCTCTCTTGGGGGCGGGGGATATATCAGTGAACAAAATAAACCAAGTCCTTGCCCTTGTGGGGCTTACATTCTAGCGCGGGGTCCCTCATGGATTTGGAGGAAGCCAATACCGCCTTGCCCACCCAGTGCCCTGCTCAGTCGCTCCCCTGAAGGCCCCACCTTGGCGTGATTGGCTACCAGGCAGTGCTCGCAGACGTTGACCCGGTGTTCGAAGCAGAACAGGTTGGTCACCTTTCTCTTGGGGCACTTACAAAGCCCCATGATCGATCCTGGGAAAGGGGCCTGAGTTGGTAGGAAGCCAGGTTCTGGTGGCCACCACTATGCTCTCACCAGCCCAGTTTCCACTCTTAACTCCCCCAGACACTCTCTTATTCGCCCCGACCCAAGATTTCTGCCCACTGTTCCTCCTTATGCGGGGAAACACCCCCTGCATAAATCCCACCTCCGGCGACCCCTCAATCCTTCTGGATCCCGCCCCCGGCCAGGCCCCTCCATCAGCGACTCCCCGATACCACCGGCCCCGCCCCCAAGGCCTCCCCTGAGCCCCACCCCCTCCAAGCCCCGCCCCTTCTCTACAGACCCCAGTCTCTGTGTTTACTGATCGGCCGCTGCACCGGTTCCGAAGGGCGGCAGCGATGCTTCGAGGCGAGGAAGGGCAGGGACCACGCTCTCCAAGGATCTTGCTCCGCTCCCTTCAGCCCCGGCCGCCCCGATTATCCCTCCGCTGCCACGTCTCTTCCGGGTGCGGCGCGCCCTGATGACGCCATCGCACCCCTGGGCCACGCCTCCGCTGACGCTAAACGTGAAGACCGGTGGAAAAAAGAGGGGGCCCGAGCGCCGCGGACCTCTCTCCCTACGTCACTTCCGCTTCCTTCTCCGCAGGGCGGGTAATTCGAAAGTTGTTTGCAGCGAGTGGCCTTCCCCGTTGGCGCGCGCCCGGGGCGGCGGCGCTGGAGGAGCTCGAGACCGAGCTTAGTTATGTCTGGGAGGCGAACGCGGTCCGGAGGAGCCGCTCAGCGCTCCGGTGAGCGGAGGGCGCGCGGGAGACGTGAGGTCGAGCCGTTTGGGGGACGCAGTCCTGTGAAAGATTGCCCTTCCCTCCCGCTGCTGCCTCCAGAGGAGGAGCCCTTAGAAGGGCTTGTTTGGGAATTTTCTCGCTGTCTCTAGAACCTGTTCTCTGGACTCTAAAGTCTAGAGTCCTCCTCTACCGCTTAACTTTTTTCTCTTTCCAGGGCCAAGGGCCCCATCTCCTACTAAGCCTCTGCGGAGGTCCCAGCGGAAATCAGGCTCTGAACTCCCGAGCATCCTCCCTGAAATCTGGCCGAAGGTGAGCCCCAGGTTTCTCACTTCCTCCCCTTGTGGCCCCTCACCTAATGTTGAGCTCACGTTCATCCCTCTTCTCCAGACACCCAGTGCGGCTGCAATCAGAAAGCCCATCGTTTTAAAGAGGATCGTGGCCCATGCTGTAGAGGTAAAGGCTAAGGAGGGTGTTGTGGGTGAGTAGGCGGGCGAAACTGGGAGCCAGCTATGAGATCAATTGGTATTGTACCCCGCAGGTCCCAGCTGTCCAGTCACCTCGCAGGAGCCCTAGGGTGAGTTCACTTTCATCTACTTAATTAAGTGGAATCTGGGTCACTCTAGAGGTGGACAGCACACATTGGCTGCTCACATCTGCCCAGGGAGCTGTTTTGCAGTACTACAAAAACAGTTTGCCTTTGGGCACCTGCATGCATTGCCAGTCTTGAGTACTCCCTGAAGACTTAATACACTTAACTTTTTATGCCTTGTGTATTTCTACCATTTTCCTGGAACTTCATGTAAAAACTGAGCGATGTCTTAACTCCACATACTGCCTTTCTAATCCGTTTTGCCTTTAGCTTTCATTTATGGGTGTTCTAAGATAAGTCATGTGTATGACATTTTTACAGTTTGAGCACAAGCTATTATCAAAGGATGTTTCATTAATAGACAATCTGAAGACATAATGAATGAGAAATGTGAACTCCTTTGAAGAGCTGATAGGGCTTAGAGTCAACTAGGGAGAAAGACAAATGACCATTGATGGCAGCGTTGTGTACTGGGACTGCAATAAGGAATACTAGATGCTATGATGGTGGCTAACCCAGACCATGTGGCTCAGGGAATGTTTCATGGAAGAAGAAACATTTAAACTGAGTCTTTAAAGACAAGTAGAGGGTGGGTGCAGTGGCTCACACCTGTAATCCTAACACTTTGGGAGGCCGAGGCGGGCAGATCACTTGGGTCAAGAGTTTAAGACTAGCCTGGCCAACATGATGAAACCCTGTCTCTACTAAAAATACAAAAATTAGCCAGGCATGGTGGCACATGCCTGTAGTCCCAGCTACTTAGGAGGCTGAGGCAGGAGAATCGCTTGAACCCAGGAGGCGGAAGTTGCAGTGGGTCAAGATTGCACCCCTGCACTCCAGCCTGGGTGACAAAACGAGACTCCATCTCAAAAAAAAAAAAAAAAAAGGGAAAAAGGGGGGGGTTCCAGGCCAAGAAGAAGCCATGTTTGCAGAGATTGGGAATTTAAAGAAAAATCACAAGGTTTGGGGAATAGCAATTTGTTTAGTGTCTGCAGCAGACCTCAGCAGGGGAGGGGGCACCCTAAGGCAGAGCAGAGCCCGATGAGGCACAAAAGCCACACTCATGACTTGGGCTTCATTCTTGGGTCTGTGGGCAGCCTTTGGAGAGTTCTGGGTAAGGTAGTGACTGAGTCAAGTTTGAATGTTTTAAGAAAGACCCTTCTGGGAGCTGTGGGGAGAATGGTTTGGAGAAGCGCTACCTTGGGGCTCCAAGACCAGTGGAATGACGTGAAGTCCAGGAATTCTGAAGCATGAAGCCAAGGGCGTGAGCTAAAGCCAGGATGACACACAGTACTAGGTTCAGAGGGAATCCCTCCCCAGAGGCCTTCCCTGATCACCCTTATCCTATTGCTGGCACATTTCTCTACGTAATTCTCTTAGGCCTTACCAGTTCTAAAGACAAGGTCTTGCTCTGCCACCCAGGCTGGAGCACAGTGGTGAGATTTTGACTCACTGCAGATCCTCCCTCCTCAGCCTCTCAAGTAGCTGGGACTACAGTCGCACACCACCATGCCTGGCTAATTTTTT